CTACAGCACTCTACCCAGGGGGACAGCTTGAGGCTCCGTCTCAAAAAAAAAAAAAAAAAAGAAGGGCTCTGCCTGGGGATAAACTAGTGCTTCCAGCAGGTACTAGTCAGGCAGGACTTCCTGCACACAGAAGGAAGGACTAGTCCAGCACACGGGGGGACATGGCAAAGGCTGCTGCCCGGCTATTGGAAGGAGAGCCCCACCTGACAGACCAAGACAGATGAGAACTTAGCAGCTTCTCTCTCTTTCCTCTCCCCTACCTTCTCTTCACTTCTGCCTGCTGTGACCTGGGACACAGGATGCCCTCCTGATTCACGGGACTTTCCCCACTCAGGACCTAAGAGTAATGAGTCTTAAAAGCCACTTCCCACTGTGGTGGTATATGGAACTTGGGCCTTCCATCTGAAGGGCCAGGGGCTGCCCAGGCTGGACACTGCAGGAACACATTTCAGGCTCTCAGTGCCAGGGGGCTGGTCAGGCAGGCATCACCTGGACACCAGTCAGACCAGAGCCACGAGGGCATCTGTCAGAATAAGCTGGGTTCCCATGTGAGGGACTGTGGTCTGGGTCATCCAGGCATTAGGCCTCCCACCAGGTAAAGACGTACCCTGTGAAAGTACGTATCGGGAGGCCAAGGCAGGAAAGGCATACTACAAACCCCACGTCTAGCTCTCCGCCTAAGGCCCTGGTGTGGCTGGGAGTATCCACACAGTCAGGAGTCCACACCAGGGACCAGGACAGGACTCAGCCAAGCATGGAACCCATGAGAGACAGTGTCCTTTAATGGGCTTATGGTTCCCACTCCATCTTTTTGGCTGTGATATTATCAAAAACTTATAAATTTCTACCTCAAAATAAATGCTTATACAAGAACAAACCTTTAGGCTTGGCACCTATAGCTCAAGCAGCTAAGGCGCCAGCCACATACACCAGAGCTGGCAGGTTTGAATCCAGCCTGGGCCCGCCAAACAACAGTGACAGCTACAACCAAAAAATGGCCAGGTGTTATGGTGGGCTCCTGTAGTCCCAGCTACCTGGGAGGCTGAGGCAAGAGAATCACTTGAGCCCAGGAGTTTGAGGTTGCTATGAGCTGTGATGCCATGGCACTCTACCCAGGGCAACAGCTTGAGGCTCTGTCCCAAAAAATAAATAAATAAAACTTTTAGCATGACACAAGGCAGCCTCAGTCCTCTCTAGCCAGGTGCCTACATGGGGTGTACTTTGCCCAACAGCTGCCCCTCCCCAAGCGCCTCATCTCCCTCAGGGACCTGCTGCTATTCCAAGCTGCATCCCTGGGACCAGGGACAGCTTATAAAGGCTTCTTAACATCTGTGGAAAAGAACAACCAGCTCCCTGTCTTCAGTCTGTCTGAGAATGTTGCAGCTGCTCTGAGCCCTGAACCAATGAGAAGAGAGATATGGGTGCCGCCCAGCGTGGCTGCAGAAGTTTCACATCTTGCTTTCAGTTGAGTCCTGCCCTCCTCGCAGACATCCACAGGCCCTAACTTTAAAAGCCCTGGTGAGGCACTGCCAGAGGTCACCCCTATTCCCCCACCACAAAAAACTCATCCCCCCATTTCTGAACAGGGCAACGGGCTTCTGCAGAGGGGGAGGAACGCCAGATGCAGACTCTGAGGGCACAGACACCCCCGCAGGCCTGTGGGTGGCAGCAGCCTCAATCTACCAGAAAATGGCTCGGCGCCTATAGCTCAACCGGCTAAGGCGCCAGCCACGTACACCTAAGGTGGCGGGTTCCAATCCCCAGCCCGGACCCGCCAAACAACAATGACGGCTGCAACCAAAAAATGGCCAGGCGTTGTGGCGCCTGTGGTCCCAGCTACTTGGGAGGCAGAGGCAGGAGACTCGCTTGAGCCCAGGAGTTGGAGGTTGCTGTGAGCTGTAAAGCCACGGCACTCTACCCAGGGGGACAGCTTGAGGCTCTGTCTCAAAAAAAAAAAAAAAAAAAAAATCTACCAGAAAATGCATCTCTGGGCATTGTCCACTTGGTGGTCAGCTCTCAGGCACTACAGGGACAGCTGTTGGCCTGAGGACCATCATACCTGGGTTTGTCTATATTTTTACAATTCTGCTGACAAGTATGCGTGCCCTTAGGGAAATGTGCAGCATTTCAAGCGAAGGAAAAGTTAAGTTCTGCTGTAAAGATCTGACTCATAAGAAATTGAAATACTTTATGTGTTTTCCCTCTTGTCTGACAATTCTTTGCCTTGTTTCTAAATCATACCGTGCTTAAGGCTGGATCTAGTTCCATCTACTTCACCTCTAATTTTATTTGGGGTGACTGGTGTCTAGGTGGATACTTCTGGGGTTCACGCTCTCCTGAGCACAAGGCCTTGACAGAGGGGAAGGTGCTCATACCGGCGAGGACGCGCTCCACGGCATACTCGAAGTTGAAGGTGTGGACAGACGTATGCCCCTCCCGTGCAGCATGCAATGCGGCCTCATTACAGATGTTGGCGATGTCTGCACCTGTCCACACAAAGTCAGGTGGGTGGGGGATGAGGAAGGCATTTTGCTCTCTTAGGCTTTAAGGAGGAGGAAAGCAGCTGGGCACAGTGGCTCCTGCCTATAATCCTAGGGCTTTGGGAGGCTGAGGCAGGATGATCCCTTGAGCTCAGAAGTTTAAGACCAGCCTGAGCAAGGGCAAGACTCCATCTCTCTAAAAATTATACCGTTAGCTGGATGTGGTAGGGCACGCCTGTAGTCCCAGTTGACTTGAGAGGCTGAGGTGGGAGGATGGCTTGAGCAAGCAGTTTGGGGCTGGCCTGGGCAGTGCAGTGAGGAGCTGTCTCAAAAAGGGAAGCAGCTTCCTTGTGCTGTGTCAAACTAAAGCCACGTCACAGACACGAGATAGCAAGGTGTGGCTCTGACAAGCACCACACCATGCGCTCCTAGGCAAGGCGGCACACCACATGCCCCTAGGTCCCTCCTGGAGTTTACTCCACGTTGTATTCCATACCAGCATTGATGGACAGGAGATTAAAGGGTCTCTAGAATACACAAGATTCTAGTTAAAGATCTTAAAAAATAATCAAAAGGGAAGATATGGCCAGACATGGTGGCTCACACCTATAGTCCGAGCTACTCGGAGGCTGAGGCAGGAGGATCACTGAGCCTGAGAGTCTGAGGTTGCTGTGAGCTGGGCTGACTCCAGTGCACTCTAGCCTGGGGGAAGAGTGAACAAGATATCGAGATGTCGCCTCAAAAAAACAAAGGAAGAAACAAAGAAAGGAAGGAAGGTGTATTATCATAGTAAATGGGACTTTTATTTACATTAACCTTTAAAATAAGAGCTGTACAGAAATGCCCTTCCTGCTGACTGAAGGCCAAGACTGTCAGGGCCAGGGGTGGGGAGGAGGCTGCAGCAGCCATGTGGGGTGTGAGACCCCGGTGAAGGGGGAAGGCCCTGAGTGACAGTCCCCAGGATATGGGCAAAAGGCACACATGCTGGGAAAGCAGCACCTCTAGGATCTCAGTGGTGGGGACATCACGATGCCACAGAGCTGCCTTATGGACTGGTACACACGAGGAAGCAGCAGTGACATGCCAGCCTTCTATCTCTCAGCCTCATGAGCAGTCTGGGACCCACAGCTTGAACTGACCAGGGTGCGTTCCTATAAGGAGGGTAACGTGACCCAACAGGAGGGCCTGGTGCCTAAGTGTAGGTGAGGACATACCACTGAACCCTGGTGTTAGCTCCGCCAGGCGCTGGGAGTAGAAGGTGCTGGCCTGGGTCAGCTTCAGACTCTTCAGGTGCTGCTCAAAGATCTCCCGCCTCTCCTGCCAAAGACAAGGGAGCAGACACGAGATCGGTCTCCTATGTGGCTAACGCTGAAGGCATAGCAGCCCTGTCTGTGTGAAGAGAGGGTGCACCCCACCCGCCTACCAGAGATAAGACCCACAGGGAGGCCAGACAGAATTGTAAGTTCTAGACAAGAGTTTCTCACAATTAGCCACAACCAGTGGTATGGGAAACCACCTCAACAAGCAGCAAGCAGCATTTTAAAAATTAAAATGAACAGAAAAATAATAAATAAAATGGAAACAAAGCACATCACACAGAGCAATAGTCTCTTTGCAAATATTTCTCTTCCCGGGCATGTGGCACATTCTAGGTCCTGCCACAAGACGCTTCCTAGGTGGTCAGTGAGACAGCCAGCCCCTCCCAGAGCAGCAGCTCTGGCTCCTGCACTGCACTCACACTCCACTGGACAGGGCCACGCTACACAGCAGGCCACCCTATAGGCCCTCGCTCCACACCTCCCTCCACTTGCTGAGACCTGCTCACTGAGGGCCCCTCACTAAAGACCCATTGGCCAGGAGGTGGGCCGTTGAGCCAGAGCCCTGCGGCAGAGAAGGACACAGGGCGAGGGCCCGCCACAGGACTCCCACCCTCACCCACACAGCCCACAGTCCCACAGCCAGTAGGACGAGAATTCTGGGGCTGTCTTCAGCTCCAGACAGAAGGGAGATGGCACACAGGAAGAAAGAGATTTCCTACTATTTTTCCTCCTGGATTTGATATCAAAGAATTTGCTATAAAACTCAAAAACAAACAAACAAACAAACTTTAGAATAAATAAGTAAATCTCTGCCAAGACCAACACATTCAACCCTACATGGTTAAAGCTGAAAGGAATAGCATCAGTGGGCAAGCAGTGACATCCGCAGGCAACAGGCCAGCAGAGCAGCAGTGAGTTCCAGAAAGTGGCTGGGCCGCACCCAAAAGCCTGCAGAAGTCACCCATAACACCTAGCAGAGTGTCACCTTCACATCTAGAGTAAGGGGGGCCGGTTCTGACCCTTTCCCGGCCCTGGGAGGAAACTCCTCGCCCAGACTCTGACCTGCAGTGTGGGAAGATCAATGAAGACATGCCGGTCAAGCCGGCCTGGCCGCATCAGAGCATTGTCCAAAATGTCGGCTCGATTGGTGGAGGCCAAGACGATGACATGGTCTGTGGTGCCCATTCCTAAAGGTACAGACCAGACCCAGAGGCCTTAGAGTGGCATCCTAGACATGGAGACCCCATATGCTCCCCCTGCAGGCTGTGAGAGGGGGAAACAATCCCCTGAGGCCACTGAAGAAGGAGAAGCCACATCCTCCTGACCAGGTGCAGGACATGAGTGGCCCCTCCTTGGGAGCTTCCAACCAGGATTGCCAGGAAAAGCAAGGCTTCACCTGCTGTGGCAACTGCAAACAACAGCAACGTCCCCAGGTGTCTGTGGAGGCAGAACCGTTCCTGTCCCGGAAGGGCACCAACAATCCCTCAGCCTCGAAGACTAGGGCTGTGGTCCCTAATATCGACTTCCTAAAGCTTTAATATCTAGTCTTAGGCCCATTTCGCACCTGAGAATTTTTTTTTTTTTTTTTTTT